ATTAGCCCAACACTACATATTTTTAATAGTAGTCTACAGAATCAGTCTCATTCTTCAGATTCCCTCTTCTTCCCTCTCTTTCCCTCCTCTTGTTTGTATGCATGTATGTATGTATGTATGTATGCATGTATGTATGTATGCATGTATGTATTATCTTTTAAGGCAGGGTCTTACTCTGTAAACTGAGGCTGCCCTTGAACAATCTTCCTGCCCAGTCTCCCAAGTACTGGGACTACATATAAGAGCCACAACGCCCAGCTCCATTCTTCAGATTTCTTATCTGAGGGTACAGAGAAGCACCTTGTGTCTGTCTTTCCTGGAACTGGTACCACTGCTACACACAATTGAGTGAGCGAGGGAACCAGTACATAGTAAGTTGTCATCAGTAGCAGGCACTACATTACACACCAACTCCAATGTAGAAAATGACTGAAGAGTTCCAGACATGCCTGGAACAGTGACAGTCACTGTCCCCTCTCCCACACCCCACCTCAGCTGAGAAGTTGAGAAACTGAGTAAGGAGCTTGGGTTCAACCCAAAGGTTCTTAAACTTCTGGGTGTTTGCCATTTTTCAGTGTCAACTTAGAACTATGTTTGGCATAATCTTAAACTCTTCACAAGTACCAACTCAATCCTCAAACAACTCTATAGGCTGTGTTCTTTTACAACTCAGGGTTTTTGCCCCAAGGATTTATTTTTATGTGTAACTGTGTTTTACCTACAGATACTAAGTGTACCATGTTTGTGCATTGCTCACAGAGGCCTTAAGAGCATGTCCAATCCTCTGGAACTGGAGTTAACAGACTAGTGTGAACTGCCAAGAGGGTGCTAGGAACTAAAGCAGAGTTCTCTACAAGAATAACAGCTGCTCTTCCCATGGAACCATCTCTCTCTTCAGCCAACCACACCGCAGCTTTAATAACTGAGACAGGTGAGCAGAGAGCAGTAATTTGTTCCAATAACATATATGCCAGGAAAGTGTTAGAGGCATGATACTCCTACCTGTCTGCCTGCCACGCAAATTCTTAGGATATACAAAGTACTTAGGAGCCACATTCCCAAGCTCATCTTATTTTGCATGTAACAATCCTGAGGTAGAATATAGTTTTACCCCCAGCTTACTCTAGAGCCAATGTCTAGGCTGAAACCTCGGCTTCAGGCCAGCTACTTAATCTCCCTATCTTTATTTTCTCATCACTAAACCTAGGACAGTAACAATACATACTACAAGAGTTGTTATGCAAACAAGTAAGCACTAACAGAGCAGTTCTGGGAACAGTGTTCTGTGCACTTCCTTCAGGGATAATTTTATTCAGAGTAAGAAAATGAGGTGTTCAGTGTCAACGACTTTAAAGGAAACAGGTTTATCCCCTTTATTCAGATCAGAGTAACATGTTCTTAAAATGTATCATTACCTTCTCTATTTTCTTTTAATAATCATTTGTGTGTTTGTGTGTGTGTGTGTGTGTGTGTGTGCGTGCGCGCGTGTGCACACTAACTTACAGTAGTCAGTTACAGGCTTGGCAGTAAGTGCCTTTACACATTGAGCCACCTTGCTGACCCCCTTTTCTATCTTCCTAAAAAACAGACATGGCAGCTCTTTGTATCTGCAATGTAATATAAATTTAGATCTTGTATCAATAATCATTAATCCAACAATCCCAAGAGTACAATGTCATTGTCACTGTGTTCAGAGAGGTCAGGAGACTTAGGAAAACAGTCAGACCAGAATTAGTGAACTGACATAGGGTCTTACAGTTGCTTTGGCTGGCTATAAGCTCCTGAACACACTCAATCCTACCTCAGCCTCTACAGTTCAGACTACAGGCATGTACTACTGTCCTTGGCTTAAGACAATTTTTTATTTCATTCATATCATTCATGCAGAATATATGTAACATTACGTCCTGAATTTGAAATATTTTTAAAAATCAGTGGCTTTAATTTTGTCTTGTGACCCAGCACTTACTCAATGACAAATCCTATTTCCTGAGATTTAAAATGATGCTCTTTAACACACTGAAAGATTTACACACAGTGAGTCAAAGGCCAAGGTATGCAGAGTTACCCCAAAGAGACAAACACCCACCCAACCAGCCAAACCAGGTGTTAGCTCAATAAACATAGTAATCTAGAAAACCATGCCCCATGGTGCAGGCAGCTGAGATCAAGGGTAGCACCAGGAAGGCAGGTCTCAGATTCAATCTACTGTGGGCAAAGCCCAGTGACCATTATAATGGGAAGGAAATATTCTGGTCCTTACATCAGTGAACTTGACTAATAGGTCCTATTTCTTTTACTGACGAAATTAGGTTTCTAGAGAAAGGTCCGATCTTAGAGCAGGCTAAATTCATTCAAGTGATAAATGTCACCTATGAGAAGCCTCTTGAAGAAATCTTCTCAAATACACATCAAACAATGTTTGAGAGTGGGGTACATCAACCTTCATTTAATACACCTTCCAGACCATTCAGAGGCTTGCTAAGTTTAGAGTTACTCTTTTCCTCTCACTAACATCTATTTAGATGCTATAATTTGTTAATCTCAATTTTTTTTCTGGAGTCACTCTCCTCTTAGGGCTTAGCCAGAACACTTTGGATAAACTTCTCAATTGGATAACTTCACTTTACTTTCCCCCTAAAGCAATCCCCTCAATTACCAAGGACAGCTTATACAAAACCATAAAGACAACTCATTCTTTTATCCATAAATGTACTGTATGGCTGTACTGAGCTATTTAAAAATGTTTAAAACTTACTTTCTACCTCCTTTTTATTCAGGATGTGGGGCTCATGGAATCCAAACTGGACTTGAATTCGTTATATAGCCAATAATGATCAACTTCTGACCCTCCTGCCTCTACTTCCCTAGTGTTGGGATCACAGGCATGCAACATCCTGCCAGTTTGCAGGCTGCTGGGGACTGAGGCCAGGGCTTCATTCATTTCAGGCACTGTGCCCACTGGAATCCTCAGGTCCTCCACTTCCCTAGACATGTCTTCCTTCAGAGTCTCTGCATTACTGGTTACTGTTCATTTCTGCTTGACTTATTGCTTCAGACTTATAACCCAGGCTGACCTTTAATTCTGAGGACTTTTCTGTGTGAGCATCCAGAATGCTAGTCTTATTAGGCATAAACCACCACCTGACTTAAACTTGTATTTCTTTAATAAAAAGCAAGGCTGGCCCTTTTTGCCCTATGTTTATGGGGTAATGTAAATAATTTACAATTGAGTTCTCTTATGTGAGCAACTCATGTAAATTAGACAAGACTATTAATTGGACAATGCTTTTATTCAAGAATTATTTTATTTTTAATCATGTGTTACAGTCATATCTGTGTAGATGAGTGTGAATGCCTGAGGAGGTCAGAAAAGGGCACTCTATCCCCAGTGCTGGAATTACAGGCAGTTGTGAGCAGTCCGTGTAGGTGCTGGAAACTGAACTCTATAGTCTTCTGCAACAGCAGCAAATGCCGATAACCACTGGGCATCTATCCAGGCCTTGAGAGAATCAATGCTTCCTTCCTTCTTTTTCTTCTTTCTTGATGGCGTCTTGCTATGAGCTCTGGCTGGCCTCGTACTCTCTATGTAGATCAACCTAGCCTCCAACTCAAGAGATCCACCTGTCTGCTTTTTCAGTGCTGGGATTAAAGGTATACACCACCACACTGGGTTCTGAAGAATGTTTTAAGATAGTAGTGCAATGTAGTAGATTTATTCCATTAAGAGTGACTACATAAATTACACATGGTATTTCTACTCTGGTTTATCTCTATTAACGAGTAGCAGTAAACCTCCAGAGCCAGTTTCTTGGGTTATCACTTGGGTATTTCTGAAAAATGGAGACACCTGAATTTTTTCAGAGTTACAGCTGTGAGGACCAAGTGGCTTGATACTTGCTAAACACCGAGGATCATGATAACAAGTTTAAAAATGTCACTTATTATTTATCATGTCCTGTTCCTACCATTTTCTAGAAGCATTTTCATTTTTTTCACACAAAATGAAATACAGTATGGAAACTACATGCATTACCATGTTGGAATCAAAAGATCAGGTGTGTAAGCTGAAGTACACCGCTTTCACTTTCTGGGTACTAGGTCCTCTATTTCCAAAAAGGGATAAAAACAGTCCCTACTTAGTCCTATGGTGAAAACTAGACAAGAAACATAAACACAGACACAAAATGCTTGGCACAGGGCTTCATACACACCACACAGTCAAATGTGAGGCTGGGAAGAGCTCAGGGGTAAATTGTTGGCCCAGCATGCAGGTGGCCCTGGGATGGTGGTGGTGGTGAACTTATTTCCTTAAAGATAACTAGTGTTAAAAAGGTGTCAAGCTGGGCAGGGTATCACATGCCTATAATTCCAAATGCTCACGAAGATGAGGCAGAAGAACTGAACTGGAGGTTAGCCCAAGATAGCAAGACCTCCATCTAAAAAGAGATTGGCCAAACTATCAAACTCATTAATGAGGAAAACGAAGTTCAGGGAATCAGAGGCTGAAGAACTTTCTTTTGTTGCTGTTGCTTGTTTTTAAAAAGGGTCTCCTTATGTAGCTCAGGCTGACTTGGGACTTGCCACAAAGACTAGGCTGGTCAGAGCTTGGGACCTATTTGCTTTTGCCTCCTGGATTAAAGGTGTGCACAACCATGTCTGACTTAAAAGATTTTCTCAAAGTTATTTTCTCAAAGTTATTTTCTAAAAAATGGTAAAGGGATTCAAGGTCAGGAGCATCCTAAGAATCCAAGGCAAGGGTCCTCCCTCAGCAGATACATAGTGTCTAAGGCTCTACCTTTAGGAAGATACATTTGCCAACTTCCTTTCAAAAAACAGGACAAAATAACAAAAGGTTTGTTTATGGAATAAACATTCAACATTTATTTAGTCTATATAGTATTGTCAGAAAGCTTTACACAGGATAATATATGCTGATGGCAACTTGCCCTCCTACCATGTGCACACAATCAAGAACAGTGCAAAGTCTCAACGCAAAATGATAGATAATACACATTTTTATTTATTAAAGTTTATTATTCTCATAATTACAACTGTAATTTATAAGTTTGAAACATGAGAAAAATTCTAAGAAGAGAGCTCAAATGAAGCTGAACAAGCAAGTAAAGATGGTTAAAACTCTGTCTCTGTTTCGAGCGCAGGCTCTGGAGCCAGGGTTAACACCGTAAGACATCACAGATAGCTCTTAAGACATTCACTCTATTCAGTCAAGCATGGAGATCTAGATATGTTTATATCATATATACACACTTTAGTATGATATTGGCCACTGAGCTCACACATCTTAACAAAGGATGAGAGTCTCTAGGACCCAGCTAAGTGCACGGAAGATTCAGGCACACTTACTACACATCAAAAGTTGCCGTTTATAAGTTATAGATATTTAATATTTCCAGAGTGTTTTTTTTTAATTAAAAAAATTTAAAGCATTTCAAACATTTTCACTTTTCTCAGTGCAAACGAAGGTTATTCAAGTCAACTTACCTTTCTCCTGAGGAGTGAGAGGAAGGGGCAAACAGAAACACCGCCCACCACAACCCAGCTTGACCTGCTTATCACCCTTTGCAGCAAACACTTAGGCCACGGATTAGTTATCACAATTAAAGCCTTGTGATTACGATTCAGCCCTTACTTCATATGTTTAACTTTTATGCTAAAATATTTATTTACAAAAATAGAAAAAAGTTAGCAGTGCAAGGAAAAGGTTGAAGTTTGCTTTAAATCCCAGCTATCCAATAGTGTGTGGAAAGGAAAAAAAAAAGCACCATTTCAAGATGGTCTAATTAGACACTGTGGAATTTATTTATAGGTCAGGCAGTAAATTACTGATTAACAACAGTTCAATACCACCTCAACTAGGTTATCCTAAAGAATTTTAAATAGTTTGTAGGTGCATTTTTGCTTATCTTGGTATTACAAACACTAAAGTAATAAATCATATTTTAAAAAATTACAAATTATAGTCTACTTCAAATCCACTTCAAATCCAGCTGTCTGTCAGGCCAGTCCAGCAGAAGATGGGCTTTTAACAAAAGCAGGGCTCTGATAATTTGGCAACTCCGTTTATTTTTCTCTCATTTTAAAAACTAGGAATTTTTTTTGGGTGGGGTAGGGTAGCTTGTCAATTTTATAGGTGAGAAAAATAAAGCAAGTAAATAAAGTAATTTAAACTACAAAGATGGACAAAAAGCAAGAGGATATAACAAATGTTATTTCTTCCATTTGTATCACTGCAAATAGCTGGGTCTTCACTAAAGAAACAACACATAATGAATACCAAAGTACCTTCCAATTCTACCTTCTTAGACTCAGGACATGAACTAAGGTCAATGGAGCCGCAAAGGCAAAATGGGTACAGGCTAAGTGTTTGCTTACTTTAGGTTGTATTTTAAGTTACAAATTTTCCTCACTAGCACTTAAAAATGAACATTTCCTTACAAATTTTATTTGTAAGAAATTGGTTTGTTTTTAACTAGGAAACATGGAGTGAGGTATCTGTTAATCTTAAAATTCTTTAAGTCCAGAGAAAATTGTTTTAAAAACATGTTTCATATACAAGACTTTAATACTTTTATTTAGGAATTACTTGAGGCTGGAGCAATAATGTTTTAACTTAATTCATCTAGTTTTCAATAGTGGAGTTGATCTATGCAGAATATTTTACCTTGTCTCTAAATAATAACTTAACTATATTTTCTCCACAAGTACATATTAATGCACTTTAAACTGGCTACTTTGTACCGATCAGAAGAAACAGGATACTCTTTCCCTTCCCCTCCTTCAAACACTCGCTCAGGGTGAATACTTATGAACTTTCAGAACTCCAGTCGTTGTCATAGTAACTACAGGACAAGGGCAGCACAGCGTGGAAACTATATCTGCTAGGTTCCAGAAGGCAGAGGATTGGTGCTCTAGCTTTACAGGGACTAGTACAAGCAGGCAAGAGCTCACTGTAAATGCACACCAGAACAGGGATCTAGGCGAAGCTGTTTAATTAGGGTACTGCTTTTGGAAGAAAAAAATAAAAGACACATTTGAAATAGCAACCCCCCAAAACAAACAAACAAACAAACAAACTAGACTTTTGTCACATTTCTAGGAATCTCAAACCTTTTGTATCCCATGCTCATAGGTAGTTTGATGCACATGGTAAATAGCTTCAGTATTTAAGAAGAGTACTGTATAGCTGACAAAGGACAGAGAACTCTTCACGCTTCTGATATCTCTGACTTGCTAAGTGCTATGGCCAGTTCCAAGTCTTCTTGCTCCTGCTGATTTAGTCTGGCAAGCCTCTGTTCTTCTTCCCGCTCACTTTCCCTCTTTGCCCATTCAATCATATCTTCTTCAGAGGGATACTGCCATTTAAAAGATCAAAAGAATGATTGAATTAGAAAATAAACTAAGAGATACAAAAGACCTTTTATAAAAGAGCACTAAAGACTTGTTTTACCTAAAGGAGGAGTGGCAATTCCTCATTTTTTTCTGAAAATGTATTTTAACTACTTACTGAACTCTAGCTTACTTTAAAATTTTAATGCAATCTATGGCAAGAAAAGTCTATAAAATATAATAAAGCCTATAAAGTAAACCGTTAAAAGATCACTTTAAGAAGTAGCAATTCCAGGCATGGTGGCACATGCTTGCAGTCCTAGCACAGGGGAGACTGAGGAAGGAGGACTGCAAATCAGAAGCCAATTTGGGACACAGTGGTATTTTGTCTCAGAACAGGTTAAATACTTAGGGTAGAATAGGATATTTAAAAACAGCAGTGGTCTAGTCTTCCAATTCAATGTAAAATATGTGTTATGTGACTATATACATTTTTTTCCTCTTTCCTTCCTTCCTGTTTTGTTTTTTTTTTTTTTTTAAGATGAACTATCACTAGGTAGCTCACATTGGCCTCAAACTCATGATCGTCCTGCCTATGTCCTGAGTTGTGGTATTACAACCATATAGGAGCATGCTTGACTGATATATCATTAAAACTATTGCCACTGGTGACAGAAAGCTGCCTTGCCTGGCCTTTCAGGAAACTCCAAAAGTATAAAGCAAAAATAGGCAAATTTTGCTACATATAAAAACATTAGATACAGTATGTGAACCTAATTATTTTTTAACAAACATTTTGAAGATTCTGATAGTCCTTAGGAACTTTTACCCCAGTTTTATATAACTAAAATGATCTAGCTTAAGTAAAACCTTAATACTGATGATGATTAGATTGGAAAAAATATTTGTAACTATAACCAAATTTCAGCTTCAGTAGAAACTAGATACGAAATTCTACTTGATTTGAGTCTTGTTAAGAGAAGACTCATCCAAAGAAGTTAAACAAACTGGAAGGCTTTGACAGTGTTCCTGTGACTCTTGGTGTGCTTACCAAACCTCTCACAGTGAAACTGGAGGACTTTATTGTGAACCACTTTTATGCTGTACTGTACTGTTCTGAAGTATAAAATAAGCAAAATGTCTCCACTACTGTTCAAGACTCATTCCAACCAGGTTTTTACTTGAAGATCCATATTTAATTGAATGTTACAAACTGGCAGTTATTTTACACCGAGAATTACAATCTCCTAAGAAAGCCAATTCTCCATCCTTCTCTGCTTGAAACAACTCAAATTTCACCTGACATGGACCTTGAAGATAATTCTGAGTTGTCATTTAACAGGGATCTCTATCTTGTTCCTTTACACTCAGGTGATGCCCCTGGAACCTAAGACTCAAAAGGTGGGTACTGTAACTGCCTCAGCTGCACGCAGATTCCTGCCCTCCTCTTTTCTAAGTAACTAGAATAATAACGGGGATAAAATAATGAATGGGAGAACCCAAATGGTACTCGCTGTGGCCAGGGGCATTTGGCCACTCAATTGCTCATCTTCAAAGTCAAGGATAAAAGGTGACGAACAAAAACGTTCCTCTTATAGAATGGGCAGTGGTAATGAATGTCACTTTGCCTGAGGAAAAAAAAAACAACCCAAAACCTTGTTAGCTACTCTGAGAGTTTCATTTTTAATAAGTGATGATATATATGATGCCTCCACCATGTGCTACTCCATTTCTAATTGAACAAAGGACTTGCCCAGCCTATTTTCATACTGCTTCTTTAAGTTTCTGAAAGAATTCTTAGATCTTAAGTTTATTTCATAAAAATAAGAAGGCTACCATGGTAGAGCACAAGCTCATCATGAATGAGTAACTGGGCTCACGGATGGATAAAAAAGAACCACCACCACCAATCACCAAAACTACTATGCGAATGCAGCGAGTAAAGACTTGTTTTGTATTCAAAGAACCCCTGTATTGTCCCCTCACAGAAACTGCCAACGGATCTCTAGAAACTGCCAAAGCTTTGTACACAAACACACATCCACAGCTACAAATATACAAGCTTCTTACTGGCATTATACAGAGTAGGCAGACAGCAAGCTTTTAAATCACCATCATACATAACCATTTGCCAAATAGTAACAGTCAAGATTTTACTTATATTTGCATCAAGACTGAGAGAAAGGGTATATAAAACATTTTGTTGACAAGAACCACAATGACTAAAATCAACTTAGCAATGGAATCATCTAAGAACCAGCAAAACCAAACCAAACAGAGGTTTTGCTTGGGGGAAGGTTAAAAGATAAATTTAAGTATGTTGATGAAATGATGCATTTGGAAGACTATGAAGAAATCCTTGACAACTCTTTAAACTATAAACGGAAAGATTTTCCCCCAAACAGCCCGGTCACAGTACTTACAGCACTGAAGTTAGCAAAATTGCTTGGGTCAGCCTCTTTATTGGTAGTGGCAGAAGAAGTGAATGGATCACAAAACATATCAGGATCTTTTTCTTTGGGACTATCATTGCCTGGGAAAGGCTGAAATGGATCATTCAGTTTAAAGGGATCAGAAGAATCCAACTTGTTGATGGGTCTTTTCCCTGGATCAAAATCATTACAATTAACCAGTAGACACAGCAAACACAAGCACACAAGAACATGTTCACAGGAGCATTTAAAGAACTTCAGGTGGTGTACAGAGCAAGAACCCAAGGCACTTTCTCAGACAGCTGCACCAACTGTCCTCAAAGCTTTCCCTTCCTTCTCTCAAATACATCTCAGGTGTAGCTAAATGGACAAACCCAAATACAAAAAGAGGAAATGAGTCAAGAATCATAATATTGTCCAAAAATTAAGTCTCTCTCCATTTAAAGAAGCATGCTCCTAAGGAAGATAAGGACAAACGAGAAACATGACAAAAAGTACACACAGCAATGGCCTCTGGCTGCAGCTTCAGCCTGACACTCGTGGCAGTAATAAGGGACTGAAATATGGCAACTCTCTTTTCTCTGGTATATTTACACAATGCCTGGTAGCATAGAACACAAGATTAATTTGACAAAACCTCATTATTTTTGCCATCTATAAAACTTCAAGCTGAGAATGATCAACACTTAGAAGTTCATAGCCTATATGCATAGCTGCTGAAAACTAATCTTTGACCAAATAACAGTATGCTGTTCTGCTAATTCATCATCCATTGTTTCTATACCATTTTAAATCAAATTATTTTATGTATTTATTCATCTTATTTATTCATTCATTTATTTGCTTTTTAAGACAGGGTTTCTCTGTGTAGCCCTGGGTGAACTGAACTCATTCTGTAGACCACACTGGCCTCAGACTCAGAAATCCACTAGCCTCTGCCTCCTGAGTGCTGGAACTAACGGTGTGTGCCACCATGCCCAGCTAAGTTCTTAAATTTTAAAGTTTTACTTAAAGTGTAATACTTCTTGAAGAAAAAAGTTTTAAGTTTCTTCAAATATGCTTTTCCTATAGTACAGTTATACTGATAGTCATATAATGGATTCTTTTCATTAATGTTTACAAAAGATGTTTGTATCTCGTATCTACACATGACTTCAGAAAGTCCTGTGAAAGCATGCAAAACCTGAGTTACAGCTACCATATAGCAACTAAGGCACTGAGGCTTAGACATGGGGAATTACACATTTAAGATCACAGAGTAGGGGCTCCAGTTGTAGCTTATGAAGCCCCCGGTTTGATCTCTAGCACTACTAAAAATCCAAACAAACAAAACCCCAAAGGAAAACAAAACCAAGCCTGGGGTTAATACTAACATTTGGGAGATGTGAGTAGGAAGTAGGAGGATAAGGAATTCAGTTTGAGGCAAGGCTACGCTACATGGGGTACTATCCAAAAACCAAAAGGGCTGGAAATGTCACTCAGTGGTGAGAGTGCTTGCTGAGGATCTGAGAGACTGTGGTTCACAAACTGAGACTGGGGCTGACCAGAATATGAATTTAAGATCCCTAACCAGTGATCCTTTCAACAAACCATTCTTCCCCTTTGCTCCTTCTACAATGATGTACACTTGAATTTCTGCAGCTTCATTATTATTGTGTATGTTGTATATGATGTGTGCGTGTGTGGTGTGAACATATGTGCTACAGTGTATGTGTGCTTAGTGCAGGAAGCACGTGTCCCCTATTAAGCCATCTCATTAGCCTTGTTTTCAGCTGCAAGACACTAAATTAGGGCATTTGGATTATAAAAGTATACTCACATGGGTGTAAAAATGTAAATAAACAAAATATTAGTTTTAAAAGTTATATAGACTCTGACCAACTTCTAACCTATGATATACTAGAGTTTCCTTAAAGGATAAAAAAAAATCACTTAACTCATTTATTTAAGTTTTGAGCAGATATTTATACACTAGCAACTATATGTACAATCAATAATCAAATACTATGAGAAGACTATTATGAAAAGGCAAGAATGATTAACAGTAATAAAACAGTGATCAGTGAACTTTGGGGGCTGACATGTTACCCAATGTGTCCAACAAAACTGTGTCTCTTCATAGAGCAGCTTGACAGCATTAACCATACTCAGGGAAACTGCCTTCATAGTTACTTTATTCTGCATTAAAAACAAACCTTTCCTTGGTGTAGGGCTAAATATAACACAGACTAAATAAAACAAAATTAAAAACACAACAATTTGTTCCTAGACTACAAAGAATTTTAAAATCAGATTTTTAAATCTGGTATGTTGGTATACACCTTTAAACCCAGCACTCAAGAGTAGTCTTTCAAGAGTCTTGAGTTCAAGGTCAGCCTGGTCCTACATAGCAAGTTCCAGGCCAACAAAGTCTACTTTGTTTACATTCTCTCTCAAACAAAACAAAATATCTATTATAAAGAAATGTTAAAGAGCAAGCAGTTTTCCCCACTTGCCTTTTTTTTCTAAATAAAAATAAACAAAAAATTAAAGATTTAGGGAGACTTCAAGTTAGTTTTCTCTCAAGAATAGTAATTTAAAAACCAGAGTACAGAAAACTTCTATTCAAGTGATAATCATTGGTTTCCAAAAAATAAGACAAAACAAAAACAAAGAGATTTCACCCATTCTTCTTCTGAAATGGGGATGGGAAGGGGCATATGCCCAGCCAAGAGGACAGCAGCAAGCTATTGCTAAGTGCCTGGCTCTTGCTTACAGCCTTTTATATGACACATCATGATGGAAGTAAGGCCCACACAACACTTTTTAGAGAGAGAAAAAGCACAGTTATCTAGGAAAGTCTCCAACTTGCATACCAGGGGGTGGCGGGCAGGGTCTTGTTGGCGTGCCAATCTTGGGTGGCAGTGCTGGAGGCACATCTTCACTCTTGCTGGGCGTTTCCTCTAACACAGGTTTTGGAATGACCACACTGCTGGCAGAACTTGATATGGTAGGATTAAAAGGATCTTCATTGTTGACCTTTGTTTAAAAAGAAATGTTTATATAGTATGATATACACATGGTCATAAAGTACTCAGAAGAATGATTTAAGTATAATGCAGTTTTATTTCAATCCTTAGAGAAGTGACATTTTACCCTTTACATTCAAGAACAATAAATAGGATTAAAAGTTGGTCTGTAATGAGTAGGTATTCTCGCATCATTACTTATCAAGAGCAATAGACATATTAAAACAAGCACACTCCAGACAGAAAGCTTACTAAGTAAGCATTACACAATACAAAGCTTCCTGAGATCCAAATGGACTGCCTGATAACGGAACAAAAAGGAAGGTCTGACTCTATGCTTGTCAGTGGCTTTAAATATAGGAAAGACAATCTTGAAAAACTATGAAGACAACCCAAAAGTTGTTGTTTAAAAAAGCAAATTGAGCCGGGCGGTGGTGGCGCACGCCTTTAATCCCAGCACTTGGGAGGCAGAGGCAGGCGGATTTCTGAGTTCGAGGCCAGCCTGGTCTACAGAGTGAGTTCCAGGACAGCCAGGGCTATACAGAGAAACCCTGTCTCGAAAAACCAAAAAAAAAAAAAAAAAGCAAATTGATCCCAGTGGAATATTAATTCTTAACATGAGCAATGAAAGATTGACTTTTCTATAACAAACTGGAGTATGATTTATTTAGGCCCCTCTCTCCCTCTCTCTTTCTCTCTCTCATTTTTCAAGACAGCGTTTCTTCGTATGTCCATGGCTATTCTGGAACTCACGTTGTAGATCAGGCTGGCCTCAAACTCACAAAGATCCACATGTCCCTGCCTCCTAAGTGCTGGGATTTCAAGTGTGGGCCACCACCACCAAGCTAGGTCAGTATTTTTCAACAGTAGAACTACTAACTTTTTGGGATGAAATAACTACATTCAGGGCTGAGGGCGGTGGCTCTGCAGTGTGCTAGAAGATGTACGCACAAAGTATGAACAGCATCCTCCACCTAGTTTTGAGAACCACAAATGTCTCTGGACACTGTCAAATGTTCCTTAGAGGCAGATAATTTGGCTTATCTTCAAATTCTCTCAAATCTTTTTCTCTTAGCCTAAATCAACACTACAGCTATACTGGAAAATAGGTAGTGGACACTCAGTGCCAGAGTTTACACACTTTTATGTTAGTGCAGACCCTAACAATGTCAATGGATAAAATCAAATAGTCAGTATACATAGATTGGAATCAATGTTACAGCTACTGACCCAGAGAGTACACAGGGTGAAATGTAATTCAACTGGGAAAGAAACATTTACACAGACAGACAACTCTAATTATCACACTGAACAGACCTTTTAGAAGAAAATGTAGCCACCTGTACCACTGTCTGCTTATTATAGAGATGTGATTACTTTACAGCTGATGATAACTTCCACGTGAAAGCAACACCTGCTATGGACTGATTACAATCAAATCAGTTTGTGAGGGAATTCTAACGGTACGGAGGTCTGCTCATTTGATGGAATATGATGTATTGTTCCTTCCTATTAATCACTGCAGATTACCTTTGATAATGTGCTGAAGTCAGCAAATCCATCTCCAAATGATTCATTTCCGAAAACAGAAGCAAAAGGGTCTGCGACTAGGAGTAAAGAAAGACACAATATTTCATGTTTTTATGTGGTAACATTCATAAAAATCATTCCTAAATTTGACTGATGTCTATACAGATTGGCTGGACACTGAAAATCCCATATGGTGTATTCCTTAGGATGAATCAGTTGGTAAGCAGCTCAAGATCACAACCAGGTGCTACTGGAAGGTAAGGTATAAAGTTCTCGAACACATGTGAAACAAAACAGCTCTACAAACTACATTTTCTTCTTGTTGTTTGTTTCAGGGGAAGTACAGCATATGACTTTGATGTCTGCCAGCCTCTCAAGTGCCAGGACTACTGTCATTTGAAAATGTCCTTGGCCAAATTATCTCTAATAATGATATCAAGAAGTCATCAATCATACATTTCACACGTCATTCAAATCTCTTTTCACAAACCTTAGACTAACCCAGGCGTCACTAATTTCAACAACAGAGTTCTTCATTCTCTATAGCAATAACTATGTTCTACTTTGTTCCATAGTTATCTGTAATTAAGTACTTTGTAGCACAAGTAGTTTGAATTTGTCATATATATTCCCCCTGTAAAGCTAACAGTCACAGACACAGATCTAAATTTATGTATATTGAGGGAGGAAAGGCACACCTGCTAAAGTTTCCAGGACAAATTTGCACCTGGGACATACTTAAAATTAAAAAAAGAGTTGGCCAAGTGTGGTGGCACATACCTTTAATCACAGCAGTAGGCAGGCAGAGGCAGGCAGATCTCTGTGAATTCGAGGCCAGCCTAATCTACATAGTTCCAGGATAGCCAGAGCTACACAAAGACCCTGCTCCCTCCCCTAAAAACCCCAACCCAAACCAACAACAAAAACCAAAATTAAAAACAAAACAAACCAGACAGTTTATTAAAAAAGGGAAGCCCCATAAATGGAGTGAGCTACAGAATGGCATATGCTGAAAAGACAAGGGACCATAGCATCTTTTTAAGATGCTTATTATTTTTTCATATATGTGTGTGTACATTGTGCACATATATGTATTCGTACTATGTGTGTACCTGGTGTCTGTAAAAGCAAAAGAGGGTATCAAATTCCCTAGAACTGGTTGTGAGCGGCCACGTGGGTTCTGGAAACTGAACCTGGGTCCCCTGACGAGCAGCCAGTGTTCCTGATAGCTGAGCCATCTGTCCAGCCTCATGGCACCTTATTTTTGTATGCTTTGCTACCAAGGAAGCAGGGCAGTGAGAGTGAAGCAGAGTGGGTACAGTGGAAGGCAGCCCTTTCCAGGCTGGTCACAAGTCTGATTATGAAAAGGATACTGAAACTCCAATCATAGGAAACTGCAAATTTAACCACAGAAGATGTTTCACATTAATATAGCATCTGGAGAGCTGCATAACTGGGGGATGCTTTCACCAGGGGTAGTGTCAGATATTCCCTTCCCTTTCCCCTTCTGTTATTCCCGATTCACACTCTTGATAGTGCACAAGGGTAGCATAAGAAAATGCCCTAGGCTCCTTTTCCTGGAGGAACTGATTATGCTACACCATGTCCTTTGTCTCTTCCTTCACAGATTTTATAAGGAGTTACAACACTTGTAGCAACACAGCTGAGTTAGGCCAGAATTGAAATACTGGAAAGTATAATTTGAAAAATATTAACTGAAAAAAAAAAGGTATTTCTACATGATGAATATGTAATTGCTAGAGTTTTTCTACAAGATACTGAGGAAATGTACCCTAGACAAGAGATTTTTTTTTTTCCAAATCAGAGAATTAAGACTTTGACAAAAATTGTCTCAAATGTTGGTTGGTATGAATGAAGCACAGGCCTGCCCAGAATCTGAAAGGATTCTGTCAGCCCATGTGAGACACATGCTTGAGGAAAACTGGCAGGCAGCACACAGAAGCCATGAGCAGCAGATCAGGCTTTCAACGTAAATATGAATTCACCAGCACCCTCTCTTCTCCCAAAATAAAGGTAATATATTGGGGGAAAATGTATAACAGCATTAAATCACCTATAATCTTATTATCCAAAATCACTTGTGAATACTTTAGTATATAACTTCATCTTTTTTTTTCCTGTTACATTATTATGATTTTCTGTAAACATAGAAACAATAAATCTATCCCCTGCTCGGCTTAACTTACTATAGTTCTTATCAGCACCCAAGTCATATTTGCTTCCACCTGTCAATAAAAGCTCTATGATGCCAGAAACTTCGTTTTATTCCTTACTTTCTCGTCAAGGATGAGCACAAGGTCTGGTGAGTAGGAGGTGCTGGTATTTGTTGAAAGTATTGTGAAAATAGGGAACAGAAGCCATATGTTTATTAAGGATCCTCCGAATAGATGTAATAGTTCTTAGCATAGCCAGCTGACCAATGAGGAAGAAAGTAACAAATAAAATTCCTCAAAAGGCTGCTGGAGAGACTGCTCAGTGGGTAAGAGTACAGATTGCTCTTGTAGAGTTCCCAGCACCTACAGTGGGTGGCTCATAACTGCCTGTAACTCCAGCTCCAGGGGATCCAATGCTGTCCTCTGGCCTCCGTGGGTATGTACACTCACATGCACATACCTAGACATAGATAAATAATTAAAAAAAATTAAAGAAAATGTTCCCCCAAAGAGTAGCTGCTTACCAAAGAATCCTAAGGGGAAGAAATCTCCCTCATCCCTATACCCACTAAATGTAAGATCTAAGCTCAACTTCACACAGTCTTCAAGAGATACCCCCGAGTAAGATGCATCTGCAAAGACACATTTGTGCTTTAATCAGCATCTGGACAGACTATTTCCTAAGTCTAGGGTTAGTAAACTATTACACACACACACACCTTCGCATCACAACTAATCTCATCTAAAGTAGAAAAATAATGCTGAAAAGTATCCTGAGTTGGCTTCTCCTTATTAGTTTTCTTTCAGAGTTTGAAGTGTCTATCCACCAGGAGCAAGCAAGGGCTGAGAAGAACTCAAGCACTTCATTGTACTTTTATTACTATCACAACAACTATAATTTAGTGGTAAGAGTGCAATGGTTTAACTAAATTTTATATATATATATATATATATATATATATATATATATATATATATATAATATGCATAATATATTATATATAATAAATGTAAATTTACTCATTTTAAAAACTGATTTTGAAAGCCCACAATTCTAAATGTGATCAATACTGGCATTAAAGTAACTTGTTTGCTTCAATCTGCTTTATTACTCTTGCTACTCATGCTGGTAGTTCATTTCTAATCTCCAGATTCATCCATACTAACCTCTCTTTACCATAACCCCCTCTTGTCCATCCACTTCGGAAAGTAGCACATCCTACCAGCCACACTCCACTACAGCGCGCAGGTGTGACTTCACTTTCCACTCACTCCCGTGCGCACGCAGTAGCCAGTCTACCCATCGGGCCCACTTGTAATGAAGAGTGGCAATCAAACAACTGTTGAGCTAAAAATGGTTAAGATTCCACTGGCTCTAGGACTGAATCTAGATGGAGAACTGGTTCACCTTCACATAACTGTGTAACACTGATCAAGTTATTTAATATTCTGGTACTTCATTTCCTGGTATTCAGATTTTCTCTGTATTGCAACAGAACCTCTTTATAGTAAAAACAATTTTCATTACTCTCCTAAAGCCACTCACTTTTAAACTTAGGCTAAGATCTTTAAAATAAATGCCAAACAACACTTTGTAGGGTTGGACACAGAGTTAAGAGAAACAGATACTCACAAGAAAGTAAAATGTACTGGATAATATTGATACAGGCCTCTTTTTAAGATTTATTTTATATATGAGCGTTTTGCTTGCATGTATGTATGTGCATCATCTGTGTGCCTGTTCTCTAGGAGGCCAGAGAGGACACTGTGGGTTCTCTAAAAGAGCCAGCTCTCCAGCCAGCTCATTCATTCATTCATGAACAGGTTTCTTCTTTTGTAGTCCAGGCTGGTGTGGAATTCACTATGTATTTCTTATTATATAGCCCAGGCTGGCCAAGAACTTACAGCAATCCTACTTCATCCTCCTAAGAACCAGGATTAAAGTGTTATCATCATACCCAGATAATTTCAAATGATTTTGTTCTTTCTTGTACTTGTATGTCTCTGTGTGTGCATGTGCATGGTTTATGTTGTATGTGGTGTGGACACATGGATGCTCACTGCAAGGTCAGAACAGAACACTACATGTTCTCCTTTATTGTTCCCCTCCTTGTTGCCTTAAGACAAGGTTTCTTGCTGATCCAGAAACTCGCCCATTTTGAACAGGATAGCTGGCCAGTGAGCAAGTGAGCGCTTAGGCCTGCCTGTCTCTGCTCCCCAGTGCTGAGGTCATAGGGAAGTGCAGCCATATCTAGCTTTTTATGTGAGTACTGGGGATTCAAACTCAGGCCCTAATGCTTGCACAGCAGCAGGGCTCTTACCCACTGAACCACCTTTCTAGCCAAAAACTACACTGTACACAGCAAAAGCTTCGTATTGGTTTTACTGACACTGAACACAGTACATAGAGAAACCTTTAAGGAGAGTGATACATGAGATAACGAGTAAGGAAGTCAAAGGTGACGCACAAATACTTGTTGCTATTATTAGTTTGTGTTACGAGGGAATAACTATACGTCAATTTAAAAGTCATAATTAATAAGGGCAGAAATGTTTAGAGAAGAAAATCTTGATGAAAAGGCGATGAGTAACACTAATAAAACTGGTAATTGTCTTTACCTGAATCACTAGCTGCAACAACAACTGTTCCACCAGGAGCAAATGGGTCATTATGCTTCCAAGTTTCTACCTAAAGAGAACAGTACAATCTATGAGAGACAACATTTCATAGGTGGAACTTTACTATCAAACCTTAAAAAAAAAAAAAAGCTTTACAAAGCTCTGAATTAGAAAACAAACATTTGTAACAGAGTTTTTCCTTTCCCGATACAGTCTCAATGAATGGAAACATTACTCTCTGATTACAAAATATTTATCTAAAAAGTAGATGGCATATGCATAATTTAACAAGTTAAGTTTATGTGAACACTCAATCACCTCACAGGAAGGTCCCAACATTCAGTAGGCTTCATGCATCTTTCTCCAACCACAATTCTAACTCCTCTTCTGCAGTCACTTTTTGGTAGTACTGGAATTGAACCTAGAGCTTACATGTCCTAACCAAGCACTCTGACACTGAGCTTAGCACCATCCAGGGACACAGAAAAGACCAGATAGCTGTGATGACTCTTATATCAGCAACCTTTTATTTTAACAGAGAAACTATAAGATGAAAGCAAGGTGGTACTTGTTCTGAAAGTACAGACAAAAAGTAAGCACAAAGGATGAAGCCTCTCAGGTAGGGAGAAGAACAGGAGAAATGTGCTATTGTTAAATTAGGAAGAGCAGACTTGGCTTGAGAGCAGTGGAGAATAGAGCTGACATGAAGTAAGAGAATTCAGACTGCCATATATTTTAGAGGAATCTGGCATATGGTCTACATTATAAACTAGGTGTGGTAGTCTTGTGGAGACCACAAATATTCAGTTATAGAGGTGTTCCTCAAAATTTACATCAGTGGAAAATACCAACTCCTGGGCAAGTAACTCTTATTAATGGATACAGTAAGGAAATAATTTAAGACTACTAAAAAACCAAAAACAAAACAAAACACAAAAGTAAAATCTTCACTTAAGATTAATAAATGACAAAAGTTATGTGAAATATCCATCGGTTAATTGTGCCTCTCTTGGTCTAGTTTACTTACAGAAATATTGCTGTCAATCTCCAAATAAAAACAAACAAAATATTTCATTGTATTATTCTATTGGGTATTTTAAAATATCCAGAATATAAATTTATTTTTATTTTATGTGTGTGAGTGTTTGGGCTGCATGTAGTAGATACATATATCTACTCTGTGTGCTGTGTGTGTGTGTGTGTGTGTGTCTGTATGTGTATATGTGTGTCTGTCTGTCTCACATGCCACACCCGAATGCCTGGTGCCTGTGTAGGGCAGGAGAAGGTGTCAGATCCCCAGAAACTGGAGTTACAGACAGTTGTGATCTGCCACTGGGTGCTGGGAAGTGAACCCAAGTCTGTTACCTGTTGAGTCATCTCCAAAGCCCTATATAAATATTTTTAAAAAACTTTCAGATGCAACTATCTTGGGCATATTAAAGTAATGTGATTTTTTTAAAAAAAGATTTATTTTTAATCATGTGTACATACATGCATGTCTCACGTGTGTCAGTACCTCAGAAGTTAGAGGCAATATATTCTCTGGAGTTGGAGTTACAGGCAGTTGTGAGTATAGGTGTTCCCTGACATGGGTGTTGGAAACTGAACTTTGGTCGTTCTGGAAGAGAAATACATATTTAACTGCTGAGTCATCTCTCCAGCCAGGATGTCATGTAGCCTAAGATATTCTCAAATTTACTATGCAGTCAAGATTGGCTTTGAATCCTCTTGTCTTCATTTCTCCAGTGCTGGGATTATACCTTTTTACCACTGCATTCAATAGGGTAAGTGTTTTGAATCTAAAATGTCTTTATTTTTAAAGCAGGGGTATCAACATCTGCCTTACAAACCTGAAAATGAAGATAAGAATGGCTATACATCACAGAGGCCTTTGGCTCTGTAGCTATTAGTAGAGGCTGTAGACACATACTCAAAAGAGCCTGACATTCAGTGAAAATTTATACTTTTCAAGATTAACATTCTAGGTATAACTATAAACAGCATGAATGATTTCATTTTTCTAAAATATTAATGTCTCCCTTTGAGTAACTTCCATTTCTTCAATAGTACAACAGATACTGATAAAAAGTTTTACTTAAGACTGGCTTTTGGACTTCCAGTCACATATTTAGTATCACCAATGGGATAAAAACAACTTCATTTTTAGATGCTAAGTCATCTACTCCTCTCCAGTAGATGATCAAAGTATGAAATACTACATTAGACAAAAGCCTGGATGGGTGGGATCCAAACAAACTTCAGATGGACCATTAAAATAACCAAAAGGAAGCTTCCATCGCTACATATTCAATATATTTCCTTAGATACTTGTTCATGAGGCTGAACAGTCTTTAATCCGGCCACTCACCGATGTATTACTGCTGTTGCTAGATGCACTGAAAGGGTCAGTACTTGAAGTGGTAAAAGGATCAGTAGAAGCCTGCTTAAAGAAGCAATCAGATGCAAATGGATCTGAACCTTTGAAAGGATCGCCACCAAATGGATCTAAAAAGAAGAAACAAAACAAACATAATAAGCTGAAAACCTACTGTTACATTCTCTATAGCCTACAGGCATTATCACTGGCTTACTTAAGCCACTTAGAGGAATTCCTTAGGAGCCACTGTGAGGCTGGGCTGGGTCTGTCCACCACTCAGACTCAAAAAGGAACAACCATTTCTTTTTCTTGATACCAGCCAGAGTCCTTAAGTATGCATTTGTGGTACTCTGTGTTCTCTTACTCCTTCCAAAGCTCCCACTCACCCATCCTCAGTGTGGCTGCTTGTCCTCATGTGGCTGACCTCCATGCCAGCTCACTTACAACCCTGCTTCTCCCTTCTCTTCTCCATCCTCTCCTCTGAGCACCTGGTGAGATTTACAGCTTGCCTGCCCTGGTGTTTTCCCTTTAAACTCAATACAATTGTCCTCTTTGAATAGACTTGATTTTCAAAAAGCAAAATCACTCTGAACTCCTACACAACTACAAGTTCCCTTTTTATTTCAGATTCTATTCTGCTTTCAAGAAAAATAGAGCTTTTCACTTACTAAACTTTTTAGTTAGCATTTAATTTTAAGGGATCTAGTCCTAAGTTTTCTAGTACTATGCTTATAAAAGAAACAACAAAAACTTTAAAATAGATTTCCTTCTCTGAGCTCAACACATTTGAAACACATTTGGGAAACAAAATTAAGTAGGAAACAAGACTTCCTTTATTCTAGTGAAAAATCTCAGAAAAATGATTATCTCAAATGTAATAATTTTTCAATGCCCCCAACTCATATGACCAGTCTAAAATTGTAGGATAGTAAAATTATTTTATAGCCTAGTATTTTGTAGTAGTATATAAACTCATATTAATTTAACTTTACCCAATATGGAAAAATTAGATCTTGTGTTTTTAGATTAAAATTTTAAATTATGCATATATGTACAAGTGTAATCCTTGCAGAGATCAGAGGTATTGGTTCCCCTCAGCTAGAGTTACAGACAGCTGTGAGTCACCCTATGGGGGTTGGTAATCAAACTCTTATCCACTGCAAAGAACAGTACACAGTCTTAACTACTGAGCCATCTTTCTCCCCCTACCACCAATGTTATTTTTAAGCAACATTTTGATTATAGCTTTTTTTAAAAAGTGAGGCTTGAGTTGAAAGTATACTAGAGTACTTGCCTAGCATGCACAAAGTCCTGTTTAACCCCAACACAGATACACAGACACACTCAGACAGACACAATTTCTTAAGCAAATTCACAAGGCTCTAACCACTCCCTAAACACACACACACACACACACACACACACACACACACACACACACACA